CAATTCTGAGCAAAAAGAACAAAGCTGGAGTAATCATACTACCTGACTTCAAAATATTCTACAAAGTTATAGTAACCAAAACAGCATGGTAGGGGTGTAAAAACAGACACATAGACCAAATGAACAGAATAAAAAAGTCCAGAAATAAATCCACACATTTGCATCCAACTGATTATTGACAAAGGAGCCAAGAACATACAGTAAGGAAAGGACAGTCTCTTCAATAAATGGTGCTAGGAAAATTTAATATCCGTATGCAGAAGAAAAAAACTAGACCCCCCCCTCTCTCAGCATATACAAAAATCGACTCAAAATGGATTAATCATCAGGAAAATGCAAATCAAAACCACAATGAGATATTGTCTTACCCAAGTTAAAACGGCCATTACCAAAAAGACAAAAAATAACAAACGCTAGCAAGAATGTGGAAAAAAGAAAACTCTCATACTGTTGGTGGGAATGTAAATTAGCGTAGCCATTATGGAAAACAGCATGGGAGTTCTTAAAAAAACTAAAAATAGAAATACCATATAATCCAGCAATCCCACTTCTGGGCATATATTTAAAAGAAAGGAAATCAGTATGTCACAGAGATATCTGCACTCCCATATGTATTGCAGCAGTATTCACAATAGCCAAGATATAGAATCAACCTTAATGTCCATCAATGAATGAATTGATAATATGATGCATATGCCACAATGCTATTTAGACTTAAAAAAGATGAAATTCTGTCACTGTAGCAACGTGGATGAGCCTGGAGGTCATTATGTTAAGTGAAATAATCCAGGCACAGAAAGATAAATATTGCATGTTCTCACTCATATGTGGGAGCTAAAAAAAAGATGGTTGCATGGAGGTAGAGAGTAGAATGGTGGTTACCAGAGGCTGAGAAGGGAAGAGGGGAGTGGGGGATGAAGAGACGTCAGTTAATGTGTACAAACATACAGTTACATGGAAGGAATAAGTTCTAGTGTTTGATGGCACAGTAGGGTGACTATAGTTAACAATAATATGTGGTATATTTCAAAATAGCTGGAAGAGAAGAATTGCAATGTTCCTAACAAAAAAAGTGATAAAAGTTTGAGGTGATGGCTATCCTAAATACCCTGATTTGATCATTATACATTGTATACAGCTATCAAAATATAATGTGTCCCATAAATATGTACAACTATTATATCAATTTTAAAAAGTGACTGGGGACACGAAAGCGTTGACAGTAGGAGAAAGAACCATTGGCATCAACATTATGATTTGCCAAAATATCAGCAGCCCACAAGTTGGGTGGGAAGTATGTTTTTGAAAAGGTTTTATTAAGTAAGAATTGGTGTGTTTTGAGACATTTATTTTTTAATTAAAATTTTTTAATTGTGGTAAAATATACATAACATAGAATTTACTATCTTAACCATTTTAAAGTATAGTTTAGTAATGTTAAGTGTATTCACACTGTGGTGCAACCAATCTCCAGAACTTTTTCGTTTTGCAAAATTAAAACTCTGTGCCCATTAAACAGTAATTTTCCATTTCTTCCCAGCCCCTGGCAACCATCATTCTACTCTCCATGTCTATGAATTTGACTACTTTAGGTACTTCATCAGTGGAATCATATAGTATTTGTCTTTTTGTGACTGGCTTCTTTCACTTAGCAGAATGTCCTCAAGGCTCATCCATGTTGCAGCATGTGCCAGAATTTTCCTTTTTTTCTAGGCTGAATATTCTTTCACTGTATGTGTATAACACATTTGTTTATCCATCTTTCTGTTGATGGTATTAGTGCAAGACAACTATTATTTTTTAAAATTTAGTTATTTTATATGTATGTATACCTTGCTTAATTCTTATATAAGCTGATATGAGACAGAAATTTCATTTAGTTAAAAATATCAATCAATCAATCAATCAATCAATAAAACAAAACTTACCTAGAGTTAGCCATACTAAGTTTCGGATATGTGGTTTTGAAACTTGCTAAAAATAAACTTTACATTAACTTCACTATTTAAGATCTGAACCTAACTATTTTCTGGGCTCAGGAAGCTTTTCTTTAATGAATTATATATATATACACACACACACACATACACTCTCATATATGTATCTATAATATAGAATGTTTATATGTCTCCTGTTCTTTAAGTAAACTACATATATGACCCAACAAAGAAATAGAGGTGATTAGTCATTTACTAAATGACTTATAATAAGATTTATTTTAAATCTTGTCCTGAATTTGTTTAAATTTCACTTATTTTTATAAAAATCAGGTTCATACAGAAAATTTCAGAGATATATCTGAAACATATCCCACCACAGGGATTATCAAGTGAAACACAACTCCCAACACAGAGTGGGAAAGAGAAGTGGCTGTCAGGAAGCCTGGGAAAAAGTTGGAGAACTGCCCTCCCCAACTGGATATTCAGATGAAGATGCCTTATATGGTCCTACTCTCTGGAACCAAGGAATTCTTTTGGGGGCCCTGATACAGGCTAAGAGAGAGGCAGGGAAAGAAGATTTAGAAAGAGTACCATTTGAGACGTTTATTTCTACTGCTCTCACTGCAGAGTCTTTATGTTTGCTTTTAATTGACGTAGTCCAATAATGATGCATGAAAAATGCAATAATGACCATGAGAAAATTTCAGACCTAGGGTAGGCAGTGTTGGTCTACTGCCAAGATTCCCTTCACCAAATGATGGACATACCAGTGAGTGCTATCTCCTAATGGTTCACAGCTGCTCCCTTCTTTGGACACTAGCCCTCAGCCAAACGAGTCACTTCAGGGAGGTTACACCTCCATCACCTCCCATGAAACAACAGCCCACAGGCAATGACCAACTGACTCACATAAAAGACCAGCTCCTTGTCTCAAAGTGGGACTGACTGTGGTTCTGATCATGCTCCGGAGTGGCCCATGGGTTCAGGCTAAGGGAAGTCAGCAGCAGAGATCACTTCCTTGCCTAGCTCCCTCTCCGGCCCCATCCTGTTTCCTACACACGCCTTCTTCTGAGAGTGCTTCTCCATCAAAGCACCGACACAAAAATCCCCATCTCAGTTTCTGCTCCCAAATAATCCAACCTGAGCCAGGATTTTGTATCAGAGAGTAATACGATCCGTATCTCACACACACACACACACACACACACACACACACACACACACACACACACAAATGTGCAGCACAAGCCAGACTATAAATATTTAAGTGCTTTCAGTAGAATCTATATAGAATTATGCTTAATAAACAAAGCCTTCTACCCCAGCACTACAAACAGGAACCTTTTACGGTGAATATAGATTGTGGTCTCATTCTTCATTTTTGTTTCCTATCCTCTTCTACTTTGACCAAGTTGATGTGGCTACTGAGTCATCTGGGATTCTATTCTCTGCCTTGTGAGGCCACAAATGCATTTATCGCTTCCTTGGGGGTGTCACAACCCACAGGAGAGTGCAGGTACATAAATCACAATTCCAGTTAACTGATTTACATCGACAGTGATGCCTGCTCTGTGAACTGTAACTCTTATACGCATAGCATTCCTTTTCTTGGTACATAAGTTCTCTTTGGAGATAAATTTTAAATAAGAAAACTGCTTTGGCAAGTGGCACTGGTGTAAAGAAAAAAGAATATGAAAACTGCTTCTTAATACAGAACCATAGAAACAAACAAAGGAACTAAATGAGGATGATGAGGCCAATATACCCTTTTTCACAGTTAAGGATATTTCCAAGTAGCATTTTTAGGACAAAGAGCATATCTTACTCATCTGATACTTAATAAATAATGGTTGATTTACATTCTACCAAAAAGATATATGCACTCACATGTTCATCACAGCACTATTCACAATAGCAAAGACATGGGATCAACCTCATTGCCCATCAATGGTGGATTGGGTAAAGAAAAAGTGGTACACATATATCATGGAATACTATGCAGCCATTAAAACCAATGAAATTATATCCTTTGCAGCAACATGGATGAAGCTAGAGGCCATCATCCTGAGTGAATTAACACAGAAACAGAATATCAAATATCCTATGTTCTCACTTATAAGTGAGAGCAAAATCTTGCTACACATGAACATAACGATAGGAACAACAGACACCAAGGACTCCAAAAGGAGGGGGAATCAAGGGTTGAAAAACGATCTATTGGGTACTATGTTCACTATCTGGGCGATGGGATCAATAGAAGCCCAAACCTCAACTCCACGCAACATACCCTTGCAACAAACCTGCACATGTACCCTCTGAATTTAAAATAGAAACTTAAATTTTTTAAAATGATGTCGATTTAAATCAAGGGAGGAATCAGAATTGCCAGGAAAGTACTAGAAACACAGTGGTAAAGTATCCTTTCAAGATTTCCTCTCATAAGAGGTTTATGTTTTCCTTTGCAACAAAATTCCCTCCTAGTTTAAACCTACCTTCATGACATGATTTCATTCCCAACTCCATGTCTTATTTCACATTTTTACTCATTTATTTAACTCTTTTCTCTAGGAGTTCCAGCCAGTCACTGAAAACTTAAATTTTAGTTTGGCTGTTTGCTGATGACTTCTGAGCAAGTACTATAATCTCGTGAGTAGCAGTTTCCAAAGTGACAATGTAGATTTGGTTGTGTCTTGGAAATGCTCCCCTCTTCGTCCACTCTTATTTACATATTACAGCAGAATCTGGGGGAAAAATTAGCTTCATATTCAGACAGCTGTCCAAGCAGTGTGAGTTCAAGGTGCCTAAGATATGGAATTGTATTAGTTGTCTCTTGCTGCATAACAACAGCTTGAACAAAATTTATTATCTGTTTCTGAGGTTCAGGAATTCAGGAGTGACTTAGCTGGGTAGCTCTGTTACTGGAAAGGGGTCTCAATCCAGACCCCAAGAGAGGGTTCTTGGATCTTGCACAAGAAAGAATTTGGGGCAAGTCCATAGAGTAAAGTGAAAGCAAGTTTATTAGAGAAGTAAAGAGACAAAAGAATAGCTACTCCATCCTCTCTCCGGTCTGTGCCTCCAAGATGACAAAAAAAAGAAGGAACAATGGTCATGCCAAAAAGGGCTGCAGCCACATGCAGCCTATTTGCTGCACGGACCATGCCCGATGTGTGCCCAAGAACAAGGCCATTAAGGAATTCATCATTCGAAACATAGTGGAGACCGCAGGCGTCAGGGACATTTCTGAAGCTAGTGTCTTCGATGCCTACGTACTTCCCAAGCTGTATGTGAAGCTACATTACTGTGTGAGTTGTGCAATTCACAGCAAAGTAGTCAGGAATCAGTCTCGTGAAGCCTGCAAGGACCGAACACCCCCACCGCAATTTAGACCTGCAGGTGCTGCCCCACGACCCCCACCAAAACCCATGTAAGGAGCTGAGTCCTTAAAAGACTGAAGACTATTCTCTGGAGAAAAATTAAATGGAAATTGTACTTAAAAAAAAAAAAAAAGAATGGCTACTCCATAGGCAGAGCAGTAGCATGCGTTGCTTGACTAAGTATACTTACGGTTATTTCTTGATTATACGCTAAAAAGGGGTGAATTATTCATGAGTTTTCCAGGAAAGGGGTAGGGAGTTCCCACCCTTGCTCCCCGCACCCCCCAAACTAAGGGTTCCTCCCCCTTTTAGACCATATAGAGTAGCTTCCAGACATTGCCATGACATTTGTAAACTGTCATGGCACTGGTGGGATTGCTTTTTAGCATGTTAATGTATTATAATCAACATATAATGAGCTGTGAGGATGACCAGAGGTCACTTTCATCACCATCTTGGTTTTGGCTGGCTTCTTTACTGCATCTTGTTTTGTCAGCAGGGTCTTTGTGACTTGTATCTTGCGCCAGCCTCCTATCTCATCCTGTGACTTAGAATGTCTCAAACCTCCTGGAAATGCAGCCCAACAGGTCTCACCCTTATTTTACCCAGCTCCTATTCAACATGGAGTCACTCTGGCTCAAATGCCTCTGACAGCTCTGGCTCAGAGTCTCTCAGGAGTCTGCGATCAAGCTGTTGACCAGGGATGTAGTTATCTAAAGTCCTGACTGAGGCTGGAGAAGCCATTTCTAACATGATTAACTCACACGGCTATTGGGAGGAGGCCTCAGTTCCTTCTTATGTGGACCTCTCCACAGGACGCCTGAGTGGCCTCATGACATGGCAGCTGGCTTCCAAATCCAGAGCTAGTGATCTAAGAGAAAATGCTTCTGTAACCATATTGCCTTTTACGACTTAGTCTCGGAAGTGACACACACAGAAATTTGATGGGTACATTTTAAACCACAACACTGCTTCCTAACATCTCTCTTGTTCTTCATAGAGCCTCTTTCAAATTTGCAAAGTGCTTTTTAATATGATTTTGAGGTCAAATTAATGTCAATCTATTCATAAACCTATAATGAGAACAGACAGGATTTTAAAAAATTCATGAGCATTATTTTATTCAATTAACTTTTTTTGCAGTAATTTGAGATTCACAGAAAATTGCAAAAATAATACAAAGGACTCTTGCATAACTTTAACCCATAATTTCCAAATGTTACCACATTTGCTTTATCAACAAACATTTAACAACAAACATGTATTATTTTCTCTTTCTCTCTCTCTCTCTCTTTCTCTCTCTGTCTCTCTGTCTCTGTCTCTCTGTCTCTCTCCCCCCAACTGGAGTGACAGGCATAAGTCTCAATCATTGAGGTTTATTAAGCCACTTTAGAGTGCTTATGGGAAAAACATGAGCCACAGACACATTTGCTGCTGTTTTTCTGAAGTTTTCAGATTTAGGGAGGACAGGAGCAGATAGACAGTTAGGTAAATACTGTGTTTTATATAAGATAAAGTGACTGTCTGAAAAGAGAAAGGGAGTAAAGGAAGAGTCAATTACACAGACATCTCTGGGTAGGCGGAGGAATGAGCCTTGTCTTTGTTCTGCACCTGGGAAGATAAGCTTGTGATGACATTATCAGTGCAGAATGGAACAGACTAGTTTTATGAGCTAGACCTGAAGTTACCATTGGCATGTCCTTGTTTCTGGGAGGTCAGCAAAGAATTTACTTATGAATAATCTGTGGAAGTCGTCCTTCCCAGATACACGAGGCCTTTTACCTCTCCACAGGGATCTGACTGCTGCGTTACTGTTAGTAACAGCTATTCATTTTGAAGAGGGTGTTGCAATGACCTTGCCTTTTGCATAAGAAGGCTGGAGGATCCTGAGATTTTTTAAATTTTCCTTTCCACTTTCCATCTATTTTCTTTTTTGAGTCATTTGAAAATAAGTTGCAGACATAATAACCTTCTACCCCTGAGAACTTCAGTGTACATTTCCTAAACACAAGGATATTCTCTTGTATAACAACAATATGATTATCAAAATAAAAAAAGTCACGATCATCTAACATACAAATTTTATTAAATTTTTACCAATTGTCCCACTAATGTACTTTCAAGTAAAAGCGGGGAAGAAGAAAACCTATTTTTTTCCCCTCAATCAGGATCCAGTCCAGGATACATAGCACTTAATGGTCATGCCTCCTTTAATCTGAAGCAGTTCCTGAGTCTTTCTTTGTCTTTCATGACCTTGACATTCTTGATGTATATAAGTCATTTATTATGTAGCGTTTATCACAGTTTGGGAGCAGATGGTATTCAATTTGCTTACAAACCTTATTATCATTTCTCTGTAAGCTTCATAAATCTTCCTGAGACACACATAAAAATAAGCAGTCCTAAATATATATATTTTTTGAGACAGAGTCTCGCTCTGTCTCCAGGACCAAGTGCAGTGGCGTGATCTCAGCTCACTGCAACCTCCACCTCTCGGGTTCAAGCGATTTTCCAAGCAGTTCTAAATATTTTAAAAGATTTTTTTTTTTTTTAAGACAGGCCTCACTGTATCCCCCAGGCTGGAGTGCAGTGGCACGATCTTGGCTCCCAGGCTCAGGTGATCCTCCCACCTCAGCCTCTCTAGTAGCTGCGACTACAGGCATGTGCCACCACACTTGGCTAATTTTTTTTTATTTTTAGTAGAGTCTGTTGCCTAGGCTTCTGGGCTCAAGTCCTGGAATTACAGGGATGAGCCACTGCACCCAGCCTAAACATTTTTAGTCCATCAATGGCTTGTGAGCTGATAATTTTTAGAATTGGTAAAGGGAAAAATCAAACACTGACCTTGCCTTCCATATCAATCTTTACCACTGGGGAACCAAATATAGATGAGATAGATGAGAGAGGTTTCTCTTTTAAAATTTTTTTTTAAGAGACAAAAAAAAAAAAAAAAAAAAAAAAGCCTGTGTTGCCCAGGCTGGAGTGCAGTGTCATGATCAAAGCTCCCTGTAACCAAACTCCTGGACTCAAGCAATCCTCCAGCCTCAGCCTTTCATGTAGCTGTGACTCCAGGTGGATGCCACCTGGCCTGGCTAATTTTATTTCTTTTATAGATACAGAAGCTCCGTATGTTGCCCTGGCTCGTCTTGAATTCCTGGCCTCAGGCAATTCTTCCACACTGGTCTCCCAAAGCACTGTGATTACAGGCGAGTTTGTCTTTATGTGTTTCAGCAACTAACTACCAAAGGAATGACAGAATTAAAATATCACCATTTTTCAATTCCTAATGAATAAATAGATCCAAACATTGATCATCAATGGATGCTAACATCACAAAAACAGTCAGACATAATGTGCTCCTGGCCAGACACACCAGAACTACTTATGAAATACAATTGCTGAAAAAGCAAACCGAATTTTAACAAGTCTCTCTAAATCAGCACTGTCCAATAGAAATATGATGCAAGTCACATATGTAATTTTAAATCTTCTGGTGGCAACATTCAAAGCAACTAAAAAGAAACATATGAAATTAATTTTAATAATTATTTAACTCAATATATCATCATATCAACATGAAATCAACATGAATTAATTAGTAGTTAGATAGTTTATATTCCATTGAAACCTGTGTGTATTTTACGCTTACAGCCATCTCTATTTGGACTGGTCACATTTCAAGTTTTCAATAAACACATGGGGCTAGTGGCCACCACATAGGACAGTGCAGCTCTAGACAAAACCATCAATGTGCAGGAAATACAAAAGACAAAGAAACATGTTAGACATGTCACAGAGAAGCAAACAGCCATAGCAAACCATGGGACTCTCTACAAGACAATTTTATTTCTTTAACAAATAAATTACAAGTGGAAAAAAGGAGATGGATGGGGAAATTCTACATGAGAAGAGGTTTAGGATGCATATAATCCAGTCACGACCTGTGGATCTTATTTGGACCCTGATTCAAACAAACTAAAACAAATGTATGGCATTTATGACACAAATGGAAATTTGAACAATGGCTGGGTATTTTGTGATAGTAATTATTTAATTATTCAGGTGTGATGATAGTCTTGCAGTTCCTTTTTTTAAAAAATGAGTTGTTACCTTTTAAAGATATGTACTGAAGTATTATGGATGAAATTATACAGTGTTTTAGATTCATTTCAAAATTATTAGGGGCTTTCCATTTCTGTTAAATATCCAGAAGAGGCGTATTCATACAGACAGAAAGCAGATTAGATTTTTGTGTTTGTTTTGGGACAGGATCTCCCTCTGATGCCTGGGCTGAAGTGCACTGGTGAGATCATGGCTCACTGCAGCCTTGAAATCCTGGGTTCAAGTGATCCTCCTGCCTCAGCTTTCCAAGTAGCTGGAACTATAATCGTGTACCACCATGCCTGGCTAATTTTTGTAAAAAAAAATTTTGTAGATACAAGGTCTTGCTATGTTGCCCAGGTTAGTCTCAAACTCCTGGACTCAAGTGCTCCTCCCCTCTTGGCCTCCCAAAGTACTAGGATTACAGGTGCGAGCCAGCATGCTGGGCCTGAAAGCAGATTGTTACCAGGTCTGGGAGGAATGGGGAGTGGGGAGTGACTGCTCAGTGGGTATGCGGTTTCCTTCTGGAGTAATGAAATGTTCTAGAATTAGATAGTGGTGATGGTTGCACAAGATGGTGAATTACTAAATGTCACTTAATTGTACACTGGTGAAATGTTGAAAATGGTTAATTTTACATTAGATGACTGTCAACACTATAGAAAATTGTTTAAATGATATGATTGAAAGATAAAAACTATGGGGCAGGGGAGAACATGTGGGTTATAGACAAAACATTGAGTTTAAGCTGATAATTGTTGAAGGTGGGTGATAGGTATATGTGGGTTCATTCTACTATTCTCTTCATTTCTGTACATATCTAAAATTTCCAATAGTAAAAAATTAAAAATAAAATCTGTTAAGCATGAGGGAAACTTGAATATGGACTGAGTATTCAATTATGTTAAAGGACATTGTTTTTGAAGTGTAATAATGTCATAGTGTTTATGAAAAAGAAACCCTTGTCCGGGCACTGCCAGTGGCTCACGCCTGTAATCCCAGCACGGGTGGATCATGAGAT